GTTGTTTCCCTTCTTGTATTCAAACAGCATTACATGCCGAATGTGTGTCTCGTCGTGTGCATCACTATAAGGGATTAGGGCATACTAAACTTTACACATTCTATAGGCTACACTAACGTGACGTTTAGGCGGTTCGTTTAACTATTATACGTGATGTACATTTTATGGGGGTGGTTAATGAAAGTGTTCCAAAACGCGACATTAATTTCTTGGTGACCTAATACAAACTTTTAGCTCATAGCTCTATTTCTTGACCGATTTAAGATCTAATTACAGCCGGGGCTATTGAGAATCCCCTCTTGTTATAGTTTATATTTACTGTTACTGTCTTTTGACAGTTTATACAGTTAGTGTTATAATCTTTTCACACTATATAGTTAGTGTAACCTTTTTGTATTATATATTTATTCTCCCTGTCTTTTGACAGTTTACACAGTATGTGTCACAATTTTCTTATATTTTATACGGTTAATGTCGCTCTCATACATAGTTTATACAGTTAGTATCAACGTCTTTTCATACTTTATCCTGTTAGTGTCACCATCTTTTGACAGTTTATAAAGATAGCGTCACCGTCTTCACAATTTTGTATGGTTAGTGTCACCTTCTTTTGACACTTTATACAATTAGTGTCACCATATCCTCATACTTTATATATATATAAACAGTATTGTTACAGTTCATACAGTCACTGTACTTTCATACTTGAGTACATTACATTAAAACAATGTTGAATATACAAATGAATGAATAATGTGACAACTTCAACTGATATAAAATCGCGGTGGAACGCAATGTATCAGAGTTACATTTTTACAATGATTGTCATTTCACAGGTCACTAGTGTGATGCCACCAATAAACTAATCGCGTTTTAGAAGGGTATACAACAGCCCTTTCCAATAAAAAATATTCATACATTGAGATCATGAAAACACGCCCAAATAGAGCATTTAGAATTTCCAAGAGGAGGATATCTCTTTTACTCAATGGCATTGGAAAACAAAGGAATGTAGATCAACTTAAGACACCGTGATCATACAGAAATATATCTAGAAAAAAAGCATTCCAGCCGTGGTAGTAAAGTGCGGCGTGTTGTAACAGGTGAAAATCCACGAGCACAGAAGTCATTATTCAAAGTTCTCCACGTGCCTCAGGCAATATTAAATCAAGAATGATCGTCGCCTGGAAAAGCAACATAACTCACATATACTTAAGTGTCTTCCACGGCGTATCTGTTGAACTGTCGCATACCTCAAATAACTAAAGAATAAAACCGGTGTTTCTACTATTCCATATGAAGACATAACATTAATAGTTAAGTCGCTGGACAAGAATTCCATGGATTTATATATGAGTGGACAGTTGAAAAGGTCGTGGGAATCGTTGTTTTCGCACACCGAATAGCTTATAGAATACAACATGGTGAAATGGTGTGCTTTAGACATGGCAGCCCTACGATAGAGCCTTTTGCAATAGAAACTACGCTGCAGGGTTATTTAAAAAAAAAATAGTCATCGTACAGAGCATAACTGGACATGGCGACATGGACTGTAATATCTGTCTCTAAGGAATTAGGGGTTTATAATATTCGTTAGAAAGTAATTGGAGTGAGTGGGAACAGTGGCGGCCTTGCTAAGTTCGGTCTTTTTGGAGATTACAAGATCTCCTATAGTTACGAAATGTTACAGTCAATGACTAAATATGTAGACTTAGTTCCTGGTCGTGAGAATGGGATGAAAGTGAAATACCCTAAATGAAGAGAGTGGTTCAGAATGTGTTCGGGATTGAGATATAAAAACAAGAGTAATACTTCTTCTGGGTGGCAAAGAATCCTCTCACCTTATGATTTGTGTCAACAACAATAGTGACAACAGAAATCTCAGTATTTTTTACTTTTCTTTTTTTACGAGGATAGTAATACCCCCATTATAGATATAGTAACTATTGCAGAAGCGAGAAAATACTTATCCCGAAGAGATATCCTCTTGGGGTGCCTATAACTCAAAGTGGCTATCGTCAAGGTTAGGTACTACCCACTATCTAGAAATAAGTTGTTATCAAGTATTGAAATAACAGAGAAAAAAACACCCATGCTCAAGAAGATACACATCAACCAGAAAACATACCATCAAAAAGCGTCAAACCAACAGAATTTCTCTATACCTCCTGAGCCTCGAATGTTTTTATCAGACTGACTAGTTCTCCTTCTCCTCCTAAACTTCCTTCTCTTTCCTCTTAAAACCTTACCTATAGTTTCAATTATTCCTCCTTCCTCGTGTTTTTCAAACTCTAAAAGCCCACTTTTTCTACCACTTACTTGGGAAATGATAAAAGACTTCTGTCCCTGAACATCCTTGTGGGAATACTTCATCCCAAAATTCCAGTTCTTTTGTTCTTTGTTTTGAAAGGGAGCAGGAAAAAAAAATGACCAAGTCAGGTGTGAGAGCCAAAACCATAAATCGAAAGATATGCAAGAAAAAAAGTAATATGTTAACACCAAGCAACTAGAAACCCATTTCAAAATGTATGTGTTATTGGTTACTAGTATTAGGTAACGATTGGTTACGTTTACATTGGTGTGATTTAGTTTTTGATAGAAATACAAGTACAATGTAAACAAATTTGATAAGCATAGGAAGGGGAAACGAAGTGCGAGTACAGCACTTCTTAACAGTAGTAGGTTTGTGAATGTGGTCTTTGCCTAGACAAATTCAAAAATAACTTATACGTTTGAGAAAAATTATAGAAATGAGGGGAAAATATTGGAAATCTAAATTACTAAATTGTGTAGTTGAATTTGTTGAAAACAATTAATTAGGGTCATAATTAATGAGCAGCAATGCAAATCACTAGCCTCATATAAATTTTCATTGAATTCAAAGACAAAATTAAATAATTTTTTATCTCGATATTTTTTTCCACATACAAGACTCTATAAAACAATAATATAAAGACAAGTTTATAAATAAAAAGTTATGAATTTCAGAACTTTTATTACAGAAACATGTAAAATTTAACAATTTGTTTGTTTCTGAATTTTGCGCAAAGCTACTCGAGGACTATCCCCGTTGGCCGTCCCTAATTTAGAAGTGATAAACTAGAGGGAAAGTAGCTATTCAACACCACCCACTGCCAACCCTTAGGTGGCTCTTTACCAACGAATAGAGGGATTGACCATCACTTATAGCGCCCTCACGGTTGAAAGGGCGAGCATGTTCGGGTATAGGATTCGAATCCGCGACCATCGGATTGTATGCCGAGTACCCTAACCATCAGGACATACCAGAACGAAATTGTTATCAGAATAACTCAATTACCCATTCCGAATGATTTTAAAATCAATATCATTTCCAACCGTAACTCGTATGAACTGGAAAAACATCTTAAATCTTTTATTGCCGATGACACACGTTTCCAAAAAAAAAAAAAAAATATTTTCATAAAATTACCTACGAGTTAGTTGCTTCTCTTAATATGAATAAATATTATAGTCATTCAGGTAGTTGTGTTTGCCCTAAGTTTGTTTGTTTTGAATTTCGCGCAAAGCTACACGAAGGCTATCTGCGCTAGCCGTCCCTAATTTAGCAGTGTAAGACTAGAGGGAAGGCAGCTACTCATGACCACCCACCGCCAACTCGTGGGCTACTCTTTTACCAATGAATAGTGGGATTGGCTGTCACATTATAACGCCCCCACAGCTGAAAGAGCGAGCATGTTTGGTGTGATGGGGAACGCCCTAAACTTGAACTGAACTTAACTATATATGGAAAATTCGTTAAGAGGTAAAGTTAATAGATTCCAGTGTCTATTTTTGCATCCTATATAAATCGTACAAGAGTTAACTGGAAAAAAAAAAGTTTCGGAATTCAATAACAATTAAAACTGTTTGTTTGTTGTTAAGCACAAAGCTATAGAATGGGCTATCTATGCTGTTAAGTCTTTATTTGAGAATTTGAAACTGACAAAGAATTCTGATGTTATTTTTTTACATCATGTGTAGGTCAGCCATAGGTTAGTTTGTTTTTACCTATTGTTATTACATAAATAATTTTAAATACACTATTATACGGACTATTATCGATATGCAGTGCTTAATTTCTGAAGAAAAAAAGGTTTACAGTAAACAGGGATATTTTGATGGTTAGGCCTAAGGTCTGAGTAATAGTACTAGTAGTATTGGTATTACTAAGACCCTACTACAGAGTACAACTAGTCGCGGTGGATCTGAGATTTAGAAATTGGATGATAATTTATTATGAATTTAAGTGGCATGGGGCTGGAGAGAGGAGTAATGTACGTAGTTTACTTCGCCAGTCAAATATCAATTCACGGTATAACCAATGTAGTCTTAAATTTAAAATTGATTAACTTATACCAGTGTTTTCACTTCTAGTTCTACTCAAGTTTTAAATTTACAATTAAAGAAAAAACTCAAATAGGCAAAGCAGGTTCCAGATCTCAGACCTAGAGAGATCTAACAGAAAATAAGCACTGATGGTGTATCTATTAACCGTTGTTAACATCGTGTATCGATACTACCCAAAAAAAAAGGCAAAATTCAGGATCTGGAAGACTGAGACTATAGTTTCTAATTATAGACAGTATGCTCTAAATTAGCTCTACTAGTAGAGTTAGGTTTAAATGAGGTATAGTTTTTCTAAATTAAATTTTTAAGCTTTATTAAATTAGATCTGGAGCTTGAATCTTGAATTAGTAGTACCACACAGGACTGAGTAAATCAGTTGTTGCTAACTGATCTTGTCATGTGATTATAGGTAACTAAATGTACTTGCACAGGGTCCCCAAAAGTGTTCTGTTTCAAGAGTAAATAAAACCAAGATGAAGAGTAACAAATATTTTTATTACTTGCTTTTGAAACTCATATGTCATGTTGTGTTGTAGCCTACAGAGTGTATAATTCTTCCTGTGATTCATGGCATGTGTACATTTTACTAACATCACAACAGTAAAAATTGCAACATTAAACATCTCTTATGTGATGCCATTTTAGTTTCTACTGCCTGAATGACAGACAACACACTACCTTATAGTGGTGCGAGTAGTTAAAACAGGTGGCTTTTGGTGCACTTTCAGGGAAGTGTTCTATAATCAGAATTACTTGTGTACATTATATTGCTTACTGACAGTAGCAACTATAGCACAACCTTCATAATCAAATCAATTTCTTTAAACTGTTTGTAGTATGAACTGTATACTTTCTACTACTACTGTGTGTTAGTGCTAATGATGACCCCATTATGCCTTACAGCTTTTTTTTTCGAATTATCTTATTTCTGTAGATATTTGAAACATTCTAAAATTAAAATGTAAAGGTAACAAGGATTAAAGATATTTAGACGGTCAGTACAAATGAAGTTTGTTTTCATTAAGAGAAAAGATCGTGGTATCCCTGAACCAATCTAAAGTTTCTAAAAGAAACTGAAAATATATTTTACTAAACATGAAATGTTTAAGACAGATCACTTCTCATACTTGCTCAACACCTATAGTTAAATGAAACCCTTCCCATGGTCACAGTGGTCTATGTCATAAATTGATATCACTGTTTTAGCTATACCACTAGCATACTAGAGATTATTTTTATTTGTTTTTATGGGTGGTAAATGCTAATGAAATTTCTAGCCTATGGTTTTAAGGTACTTGCACTATTTATTTTATATCTATTTCTTGATATGTACATAAACAGGTTGAAGAGTGATAGCACTAACAATATATAAAGAGTACAAGTATGTTGAAATGTGACACTTTTTTTTCTACTAATCACTGGATAAGAACAGACTAAATATATAAGAAAATATATCTTCAAAACACCATCTGTAATTCAGTGTTTACTGTAGGTCACCTTAAAGTGATAGAAGGATTAATCATTGCCACTGTCTTCCCGAAGTATAAGACTGCTCGATCATCACTTAACTATATCAAAGATTTTTTCTTGACACATTCTGTTTGTACCTGTTTATCTGTAATCAGTTTTGTTTTTTTCTGTAAGAAAGATTAATATTGTCTTTGTGTATGTTACACCTTGTGAATTAGAAACCTTTACTTAGTATAATTGAAATATGTATAAAAGGCTGAAGTTTAACACATACTAGTCAAACTTGGGCTAAGAATTTTTAAAATAATGACTGCCATCTTGCAAATTAATTGTGTATAAGTTTATTCTTTTTTTTTAAACTATTTAATTTTGTTTATGAAGTATTTATAATCTTGTTTCATTTTAAATATGTTATTCATATCTTTTTCAAAGACAAGAAGTAGGAAGAATGAAAGTGGAACAATTTTTGTGGTTATAATCCCTGAAACTGCAGAAAATGAAATAAAACAGATAAGTAACTTGTAAGTATTTATAAATTATATATCATTATACATTTGGAAAAAAATCTATAAAACTCATTAAATTATTTTTTATATATTATATTATCTTCAACAGTTTAGCAATTTCTGAATGATTTACATATCAAAACATTTTTACATGCTTTACTGCAATATCTTAGAAGCTTGCAAATTAAAATGTAATAGCTTAAGGTAAATATATTGAAAATATATTTATATGTTCAATGATATATTACTGGGACTGAGATGTAGTATGTTTGAGAAACTTGTAATAAGCTAGTTTTATGTGAGGTATACTAATTTATATACATATACAGCCACACATCATGTAAACTTAGCCGGTGAGGCTTAAGACATTTTAAGTCGGAGTTTAGGGCCCACCTGAGGGACCAGCAAAATCTAGGGAATAAAAGTCCCAGAGGCTCAAGGGTTTTAAATTTTAGGGAGGTAAAAAACCACCTATCCTTTCACAAAATTGCATATGTTTTTGCATTGCAAATCAAGCTTTAAAAAATGGATAAGAAAAATAGAATACATAATATAACAATTAGGCAAATAATCTTCCATGTCCACAACTTTTAACATATTTGTCAAGCACTTCAGGAAAAAGAAAAACTGCAAAGTGATGAATTGTTAAATGACTACTAAATTTTATTGCATGCTTAAAACAAATAGAGGGTTGAATATATTATATTACAATGATTTTGTAGCTAACATCATGTATCTACATTTGGTCGTGCTTTATCTAATGACTGTGCATCTTGATAATAGCCCTGCAGTGTAATTTCCCTTGCAAAAGACTGTTGTCATGCCAAAAGCACAACACTCATCATCATGACTTACATAATTCATCTACTGTACAAGGATTACAGTTTTCCACCACCTGTTTTAATAGTCTGATCTCAAAGAATTTTATAGGTGTGTATCTGTCAACTTGACCAGTATGTGCTCATATGGAATAACAAATACCCATCTTGTTCTCCAGCTGCTTCAGGTATGCAGTGGTTGGATAGATATCTCATGGAAGCAACTTGGGTTCACATGATTTGTTTTACCTTGCTTTTCCAGGTGGAGGTCCTTCTCGATTGTGCTGCATACAATTGCCTGGGGCACATGAACAGTGTTATTAAAATTCACCACAGCTAAGTAATAACTTGTCGATAGATGTGTGTAGTACCCCAAGTTGATCTAAATTCCTTTGTTTTACGATACCATTATTAAGTACAAGGAATTTTTATATCTTCAAAATTCTAAATCACAAATCTGAACACATCTTTATGATCTGAATATTTTATGTCAGAAAGAGCTGTTACATACTCTTCCAAAAAGCAATAAGTTTTTGGTGGCATCTCACACTACCTTCAAAATGTAATTCTAATATATGCCATTCCACTGCCACTTTATATCAGCTGTGGTTGTTACATGACTTGCTGATTAACATATTCAAAATTTTTTCAGTAAAGCATACTGAATATATATTGCATGTGCCTTTTTAGGAAGTTACCATTTTTAAAATAATGAACAATACTAACAAAAGCAATTTTCCATTCTGGAACTTAGTGTGAGGCATACCAGTATGGAATAATTGACAGTAACAATGGTACCAAATCAGTAGCAGTGTTTGAAGGAATACTTCCCTGTGTATTCTGACTGCTCTGCCACTTCGTTTCCTCTTGTGATTTATAATCCTCATCGTAATTAGTAAATTTAATCATTCTACTTTCAGTAATTGGCTTATTTTAGCACTTACCCATTTTCATACCTTGCACTCCAACCAACAGAAGGCCTCTTCTTTCTGCAAGTAGAAATGTTGAAAATTACCCACACCAAATGGCTTATGTCATTGCAGGGCAAGTACAAATATACCCCAATATCATCATAAGCTATCTTCATAGCATTGGCTACAGTGCCAAAGTTAGCCAGATAGAAGCTGCTCCTCACTTTATGATATATTCTGTCTTTTGGGACACATTTTTATTCCATGGGCTCACATTAGTACAATTTTTAACAGTCCTGGTTTATCAACTATTCTCACAGAAATTTACCATGAACCACGGCTGTATTTCCGTTTTGGTATGAAGTGCCATTTCAGTAGTTAGATTATCAAAGATGGTGGTTTTTCAAGAGAGATGGTCACTGTTGCTTAGTATATCACAATTCATAAGCAAAATCTTTGAACTGTCTATGCCAATGACCAGCTTACCAGACAAGATCCATTATTATGCAAGATGAGGCTCATGCTGATTTAACTTAATTCAGAAAAAGATGCTTGAAGGTCAGTGCATTATCACTCTCCCCTGACCAAGCCAGTTGTCAGATATAAACCCTTTCAAACAAGTATGGTCCATCTTTAATTGTGCTCTTTAAAAGCATCCCAAACAATCATCTTCTAGAGACACCCTCATCCCACTTATTCACCACAATGTGGTGCAATCCCGTAGGTCTTGATTTTGTATCTTATATACATGATTTGTAATTTTGTTTAAGTATTTTAAAGAGTAGATCCTCTAGTTCTCAATATTAACCTTGTACCCTATGTTTTATGTTTGCTTGTTTGATAAAATTGCATTTTGTCTGATGTGGGTATCTATTTACTTGTTCGTAGGTATTTTTTTAATGCAGAAATAATCTAGAAAACTAAATAGTAAAGTATGTACAATATGTACATTGTTGGTATATAATAAGTTACATAGATAAAAAAAATTACACAATTAAGCCTGAAAATTTTAAATTGTTAAAACTTTATGAATGACCTGAAATATATCATTCAAATTCAGATAGAATCACAAGACATTCTGTGAAAGCTGAAAGTATCTACATTACATCAAGAAATAAATTTCACCTTTTTTTGCTAAATATAGAAATCTACTGCATATCAAACCTTGTGGAGCAATTTCAGACTAATATGTAGTGAGAGTACCTGTGACAGTGTTTATTAACATTTAGAAAATGTTTCTGTTGTGACTTTGTGATGAGACCAGCCTCATTACATGTATATTAGGTATTCATGTATTGTTAAAGTTAGTGTGATAAATTGAGGGTTGTTCAAAATGAATAATGAAAATGAAGAAACACTAAAATATTCTGAAAATGTAAAATTTCAAATATTTTTTAAGCATTTCTAAATATCATTAATAAAAACTACACCTTCTGACTGAGCAATGTCTTCAAATAAGATTATGATTCTTATACTTCAGATGTGTAGATGGGAACATTGATTTTGTTAGTCTTCAATTTCAGAAAGACAAAAGAAATATTCTTCATTTCATTACTTTCAGGAATAAGTAAAAGAAAGAAAACATCACTAATAGAAAAATAAAATAAACATTAGTGGATTATAGTATCATAACTTCATATAATAAAGACTGATTTAGGATAGGCTCACCTTTTAGGTTATTGAATACTGTATAGTTAAACAACAAATTTCACTTTAATATTCATAAAAGTGAATAAGAATCTGTGAAATTGCATTGAAATAGTGATTTTCATGGGTATCTTGATAAGGCTGAAAAGCAAACTAAAGAATAGTTGGTGAAGTTCTAAAGTACATATGATCAAGAAAACCTAAAATGTACAATACTTATGAAGAGCAACATTGATTTTATTTTAACAAGTTTTAACTTCACTTTACATAAATTATTACTCTAGTTTTGATTTTACAAATATCTCAAAAAGTATATGTTTGATTTAGCTGGAATTTATAAAGATTAACTATCATATTATCACACACAGTTGTTCAATTGTCATTAAAATTTGCTAACAAATAAGAAAATTGTAAGATGTCTTCCCAAATGTCATGAATTACACAGTGTCAGGTTTTTAAGCAAGTTTTGTTTGTTGCGGATTTTGATCGAAACTATGGGCAAAAGGAAGGATTTAACATCAGAGGATAAGAAACAAATTTTAAATAGTCTTGCTAAAGGAAAAAAAATCAACTGAAATTGCAAAAGAACTTGATTGAGACCATAGAACTATTAAGAAGTACCTAGTCGATTCTGATGCTAAGCGGACAAAATCTGATAAAGGAAAAGTACGGGTGATTTCAAGAAGCCAACTTTCCAACAACAAGCAATCAACTATAAAGAAGCCTCTTTCATCGAATAAAGAGATATTCCAGGAAGCATGAGCTCCAGATATTCCAAAATCATCAAGATATAGGGTCCTCCAGAAGGTTGCAAAATGTGTTAAGCCTGCAATTCAACCACCAATGGGAGCCAGGCATAAAATCCAGTAACTTGCATGGGCTTGCCAGTATCTAAAAACCAATTTTCAAGAAGTTTTGTTTACAGATGAGTGTTGTGCAACTCTTGATGGCCCAGATGGATGGACCAGAAGATGACTTGCAAAAGTTACTTCAGCCTTATCCAGAATGAGACTTCAGCAAGGAGGAGTAACATTTTGGGCTGGTATCATTGGTAATGAGCTTGTGGGTCCATTTAGAGTGCCTGATGGTGTAAAAATGACTTCTGAAGCTTATATTACATTCCTAAGGACAACTTAGAACCTTGGTATAAAAACAAGTCTTTGGTATTCAAAAGAAAAATCATTTTTTGCAAGATAATGCACCATCTCATGCTGCACGGTTTATGGAATGGCCAGCATCCTCTCCAGATTTAAACCCCGTAGAGAACTTTTGGAGTATCATGAAACATACAATTTATGCTGGTGGAAGGCGATTTACATCAAAGAATGATCTCTGGAATGCTGTACTATCATCTGCAAGAGATATTAAAGCAGAAAACATTCAAACATTGACCAACTCTGTCGATGACAGGCTCATCAAAGTCGTGTCAAAAGGTGGTGGTGATATCAATAAATAAATAAATTATCTTCTTCTGATTCTTATGTATTAAGCGGTTTCTGGGTTTTGTTTGGATATTAAAGATTAATTGTATCAGTTTTATTTATTATTACCTCGAACGGCTACTATTTTTGTGCTTTAGACTCATTTATCAGAAGCTTACTTAATAATTTGGCACTGTGAAATTCATGACATTTTAAAA